GGTGCAGCGTCCTTCTTCTGAAGGTAATAGTGTCTCAGCTACCCAACGGCTTACCAGAATTTTATGGATTACCGTGTTCGCATGGGCTCGACAGTGGTCCCTATCCTTAAGCCAGACGAATCCAATTCACATCCACCAATCCTACTTCTTTAAAATCCATTTTAATATTTACTCATATCTCAGTGCAGGTTTTCTTACTAGTTTTTTCTTTTCTTCAAGTTTCCCCACCAAAATTCGTGTAGGAATCTCTCTTCCCTTTCACATCCTGCGCAGCTCATCTCCTTGCTTTGATCATTCTGCCAATATTGGAGAAGGCTACAGAATATGAATCTCTTCAGTGTGCAATTTTCTCCGGCCTCCTATTATTTCAGTCCGACTCTGTGGTCTAGTCGTCAGAGTTCCTGCCTACAGAACCAGAGATTTTCTGAGCAGTAGTGGGTCTTGAACGGAGTCCACGCAGCCTCGTGAGGATAATTGAGGAGTATTTCAAGGAAATAGCGGCTCCGGTCTAGCAAGCCGAAAATAACGGCAGTGGGGATTCGTTGCGCTGACTACGCGACACCCTCTATCCGCTAAAGTTGGCACTAACTTCACGGACAAGCGGCGGTCGCTCGGTCGGTATAGTTCGCTTGAGGACTAAAACCACGGAGTTTTGTTTTTCCCTATTATTTCATCCCTTTTAGATACAAACGTTCTCCTCAGCACTCTTTTTAAAATTTTCATTCGAAGTTCTTCCCATAGCGTGACCAAAGCCTACAGTCCATACCTAATATATTATTGTTTCAGTCTCTTACGTTAAAAATGTGCAAGTAAAATATATAGTCTCCAGAACGTTAATTAAATTATCTGTATTCCTAGCAAACTTCGGTGACTCTTGACTGCTTACGGGCTGGAATACTGGGATTCGATTCCAGTCAGCTCAGTTCTAGGGCCCACTCACACTCTGTACCTCCACACGCTCATACGCTCCCATAATATGATGCTTAATACAGCAAATTTATTCTTTGAGAAAACGTTGAGAGAGCAAGGCAGCTAAACCACAATGCCACCCCCAAGTGAACGGAGAATCCGCCTCCTTCTCAACTTTAATAGATCAGCTGTCTAAAATTTCGTCACAATTAATAACACAAATTCGCTAGGCATTGCCACGAAAACCGTCAGTGGTGTCGTGACTCTTGAAACAATTTTATTTACGTTGCTCCATATCGTAACTGCCAATTAATGATTAAGACATGAACAAAACAGCAGCAAAAATTTCCTTCATTTAATAAGAATTCAGAAGAAAGTTGGTTCCAAAATGTCCCTCCCCGAAAATTGTGCCCACATAAAGGGACACATGGTTCACTTGTATGTAATTCCGGCCTTGCATGTAGAAGAGGTACCGGTCACGGTAGCCGAGCGGTCTAAGGAATGTACTGCCTTCGTTCGCTCGGAAACCCGGATCGTGGGTTCGAATCCCATAAAATGCATGGATGTTTGGTATGTATATGCGTTTATTCTGTGTTTAGGTGGAGACCTTGTGACGAGCTGCTCACCCGTCCAAGGAGTCCTACCGTCTGTAAAACGATAATGAAATTGAGAAATCAGCCCTTTGCTCCGAAGTGGGAGCAAGGAGAGAAATGTAGAAGAGGTATTCATCTGCCTCAGTGCTTCATCTCCGAAACTACTTAATGGAGTTATCGCTGCTCGATAATTAATTCGAACTTACTGCATATGATTTCATGCAACACCGATTTTACGTGAAGCCTAAATCGAAGCGTCAATTTCTGAAAATGGTTGACAGTACAACTAACTAGCCAACTCCTCGGAGCTAAGCCCGTCATAAGAAACAGCCAGTCGCTCAGCTATTGAAGAATTTCTCAAAATTCTATGGAACCCTCAGGTTCGTTACCATGCTTCCAAGAGCCCACCACTGGTCTCTATGCTCAGCCAAACCAGTCCGTTCCATACCACTCCATACTGTTTCGTTAAGATCCATTTTAATATTATTTCCCACCTACGTCTAGGTATTGTTAGTGGTCTCTTTCTTTCTGACGAAGAAGACTGCTTTCTTCATAGTCACCGCCGTGAAAACCTCATATTCTTTTTTTTTCTGGCTTTCCCACCAAAATCCTAAATGCATTCCTCTTCATTATAATGCATGCTACATGCCCTGCCTGTCCCATCCTCCTTGACCTGATCATTCTAATTATACTTGGAGAAGAGTACAAGTTATGAAGCTCCTCATTATGCAGTTTTCTGCAACCTCCTGTCACTTCATCTCTCTTCGGTCCAAATATTCTCCTCAACGCCCTGTTCTCAATGTTATTTAAATATACGAAATAATGAGGTACATACCACAGGCCATATCAGGAGGGCGAACTCATGGCTTTCAAGATGAGTGAAATTCATAACATCGGAATTTAAACGGACTTTCAACCCAGTTTGTCGTGAGGGGTAAAAAAATCTTTATGAAAGTATTTACAATAAAATTTCTCGAAAAGCGTGCAAGGCGCCTACTACATTCATCTATAACCAGCCTGGCATCTCATACCATGCTCCAAAGGATCTCAGAATATATTAAATTGTATGTGAGAAAGTTTATGCTATGTTTGTTATACAGTTTGTTTCTAACAGAGGTCAAAATATACATAATTAAAAAAAACATTTATAAACTTCAAATATATACTTGCTATTTAAACAGACAGACAAATACGAGCTTCCTTAGAGAAATTTGTGCTTTACTACGTTTAAAGGCCACTTAAAAATGAACTCATTAAGAATACATAACCTCATAGTTGTTGTTTTTATCAAAGCAATATACTGCTCCAAAAGACGGAACTTATATTGCCAATGACAATAAATTCAGATGCACTTTGTAAGGCGTACTGTTAAAACATATGTGAAAGTTCGTATTAAATAATCAAGCACATATTAAAACTTTATGTGCTTATTCTGTGACCAGAGGGCACGCGGTAGCGTAGTTGGTTGAGGCACTATGCTACAAGCCCGAAGGTCACGGGGTCATGTCCCGATGAGGTGAATTTTTCAATTGACATAATGCATCCAGCCGCATTATGGCCCTGAGGTCGACTCAGGCTCTAACAGAAATGAGTACCAGGAAATTTCCTGGGG